AATTTGCAATCGGATTTTGTCACAGCAAAAAAATGTATAATGTGACAATTTTTTTGTGATCGGACCAATGTCCGATCAAAATTACTTTTGCTCGGACATTTGCCAAATTTAGTCGGACATTGTCCGATGTCCGACAGTAATTTGCAGCCCTGGTAAAGATAAAATAATCTAGGCTAAGTATGTAATTAGGTAAGTGTATAATATTTGATGTAAAGCTCATTTGACGGATCATATCCACATGTAAATTCGCGCTATAGAAATGTTAATCGTAATCGTAATAAAGAGCATGCTGTATGATGAAAGTGTCAGCAGAGTAGATTGCGATCCATGCCCGCCATTCTGTGTTCCTGCTTTTTGGATGACGTGACCCTGGCTCATTTCAACCGGCATACCTGGCATGTGCTAAACTTAACTGACAAATTCGGTACGACAGAAGAGCGACGCAATGAATAAGTTAAGTGCAGCAGAATTTGGAACGGCCAAAGTTCGGCAGAAATTCGGCAGAGTATGTCGCATTATCGGAGACGTTGGGACGATACTGATTCATACTGCTCTCCACTCTTGTGCCAAACTGAGCTAACACATTATATGATTATAGATTAGCCATCTTGTAATTTAAAATGTCGTATAAAATTCTAATTCAAATTCTAATCTAAATTCCAGTCAAATCATATGATTAGATTAACCATCTTGTAATTTAAAATGTCGTAAATTGTTTTAAATTTCATTTAGGATCCACGCGCGCATTCGCCAAACCGTTGTCGATATAACATTATATATTGTACGTCGCTTGTATCATTGCAGTTCTTGTATTGCTCCAGCGTCGCATCTAAAACAATTAAGTTTAGCACATGAAAAGTACGCCGTCTGAAATGGGTCGCTATTTCAGAAATTGTGTTGCAAGTTGCTGCAAAAATTGCCTCGTGCAACATGGTTTAAAGGTAGGCATCTTACTCAATAGTTGGAAATTTATATATGTTTTAATAGACCTAATTACCAGGAACAGCTGCGAAAAATGCAACTAATTTAGTTACCTAGCAGGAATTAACCTACGGCCATGCTATCCATGCAGGTAAATCTGCGAAATAATTAAATGTTCGTACTTGTAACAGAGTTGTAGTTTATTCACAGTTGAGGCAGAATATGGGGAGCTAAGCCCCTCCCCCAAGAAAAATAACCCTCACAGTAAAATAGTAATACGAAGATTCTTGATTGCTGCGTAAAAGGCAAAATGAAAGCCCTAAAAATATATTAAGTCGTATATGTCTTGGTTAAAAAGCGTGAGCTTTTTCCATCGCCAGGTGTTCAACAATGCTAATGTTCCGGCGATTTTTCCCCCACCAAAACCAATTATGAAGCAAGTTTTTTTGTCTAAATTCTTTAATCGGGTGACAGAAATGTCTCTAATTTTTCTGGAGAAGCATGCCCCCGCCGGGCCGCCCCCTAGTTTTCAGTCCTTCTAACATATAAATGTCTTCCTACATTACTGCGGTGATCCACTTGCCTGTTGTATTTGCACTTAGCTGAATGACAACTATACTAAATTAGCCCCCCCCCCCTCCAAAAAAAAACCTCGTTCCGTCTCCAGTGTTTTCTCATTAACTGTAATTTCTATTTGGTTTACAAGTCTACAATATGCATGTGACGTAACCTCGGAAATTTGAATGGTCCAGCGTAAATAAAATTTAACCAAGATACTATACTTACATTTCTCAAGATTAAAATGGAAGATTTGAAGTTGTTCTCCAACTGTATTACTTGCAATACATGAGAAATAATCCGCACTAGTGGGCGCGTTCGTGAAAGATCCATCAATACTCAAAGTTCCATTACTTAGAACACGGTATGTCCCTGTGAACCCCTTATAATCCACATAATTTTCCAAAAGCTTTGATGTGACACTACCATTGCTGGGAGCGAGGATATCTTTACCAATTTTCCACCGTACAGCAGGTTTAGGATACCCTGCTGATGAACAGTCAACATTCAAATGAACCAAAGTGTTTTCAATCACTGATATAACGGTAGCGTTGTTAGAGAACCTTGGTCCTAAAAAGGAAAACAAGCTTAAGTATACAGCAATAAAACATGGTTACGACTAAATAAACACGCTGTTGATAGCAAAACTACGCGTTATGTGTTAGCAGATGTAGGATTTTTTTTCAGTTAATGTTCTAACATTCTATTTTGTTTACAAACCTTGCGCGGTATTAATCTTTAATATGCACACTGCGCGTTATAATAATGTTTAATCGGCACGCCATTTAACCAATCAGAATCGAGTAAATTGACTAAAATGATATTAAGATAAAAACAAAATAGATCAATTAATACCTTTCGTAAACTGAACACGGTAATTTTTCCCATCAGTTGCACTTGAAATGTTAACCATACACGTCACATTGAAC